CAGACTCATATTGAGATTTGGTGCAGCATGGTGCCAGAATGAAGCTGACATAGACACGCATCTGGACTAATCTCCAGTGCAGTGCATCAAGATAGACTTTGGGTGCGTCAAAGTGTTTTTGAAAAGCAAGATATGTAGATTTATCTGTAGCAACGTGAAAACAAAAATGAAGTCACTATGTCACCTGGGCCTAAAAACTGTTGTGGCTGCATGGAGAGAGGAGAAGAGATGCTTCTCTAACACTGGAGGTAGCAGCTGCACTTACCATAGGGTAAAGTTTCAATACAGAAAGGTGTGTGGCTTTTTGTCGTGTGCCAGATGTCAACGAACGAAACCCAACAAGCAAACACTTGACTAGACGCCATGGCAAACAGCCTGAATGAGAGCAGTGAGACGCGGCCCTGATGACGTGGTGACATGTAAACCAGAGGTGTCAACGTGGCAAGTCCCGTGAGGACGAGCTCTTAAAATGTTGCGTGAAACGGTGGAAATGGCGAAAAAACGCACAATTGCGATCCTGGTGAGAAACTGGCAGGCAGCACAAATACAAATACAAAAACAGTTTTGATTTGTGCTTTCTATTAGCTACTGCTGTTGAACTGGCAAAAGTGCGTGCTACTGCAGACAAAACACTACAAGATGTGCTCGTGGGACCTGTACCTCTGGAGCCAGTGCTCGAATCAAGCAAATCAAGCGGCAGTAAATAGCTCTGGTCAGTCTTACCAAGGGGTCTGTTGCGTTGACGTCAGCCACGTGAATGATGACGTCATAGGTTGCACACAATGTCATACAAATACAAATCTTCGAAGGGCGTCAGGCCTCTCGAGCACCCATGCATAAGATTGGGGCCACCTACCAAACGAAAGATTGAAGTTCTGTCCACTAGGATTATACGACCTCAACGGAGGTCAGGAGCGAATTTCATTTCCAGATGAAAGCATGTAAGGTTATGATTAGTGCTCCTCATTAGATTTTTGTTTGCTTGTGTTGACTTGTGATTTCGGTTACATGACAAACGAAAGTCGGCTACTTTGAAATGGATTAGTTGAATGAAGGCATCACAAACGGAGGTACAAGGTTTTGTCGGTTCGATTATTCCTAGCTAACCTCATATGACTACTGCTGGTGACCTGACTTGAATTCGTAAACCGTGGATGACCCAGAGTGGCACGCAGTCAAACCAGACTACGAGTCATGGAAGTCAAACCAGACTACGAGTCAAGTCAAGTGATCACCCATCAGGTACAGAAAAATAATATTAACTACATTCACGTCCCTCCCCCTTCGCTGGTCGGAAGTTAATAAAACCCGCACAGCCTTTCGTTCCGCGTGAGGCCGCACCGTTTCACCTCCACCTGGTCTGTCGACATCAGAGGCGAGCAGATGCCGACCAGAGATCGGTCGGCCGCCGCTCCGTCCGTCCGCCGCACAGTTTACCCCCAGCGCCAAACAGTGGCTCCGACGCACCGCGCGCCGCCGCCATCGCCTGCCATTGAGGCTTTAATGAGGCGCACCGGCCCGGCCCGTTTACATGGTCGGCTCCATCTGTTTCGCCGCTGAAATTGGGTGGTCCGCTCGTTGTTTACGCCATCATCATTACAGGCAGCCAGCGCCATCATTTAACGAGAATTTGCTAAACATTGTCAGGCGCGCGCGTGATTTATGCAGCGACGGACCGCAGCAGCGCGGGAAACGGGAAACAAAGATGGCGGGAGAAATTCGTCGACTCTGGCAGAGGACTGTGAGCATCAGATGAGCGCGCCGCGATCAAAACGGTTTGGAGAAGTGATAGGTCTCTATAGCCTTCTGAATTAATTAGTTTGTCTTCTGTGCTTTTTTTTTACTGAATTAAAAAGCATGCGACTCGGGTCTTATATTTTGATATTGATACGTATTTGCGCGCATTTCAGCGCATCAGAGCGTCAAGACAGCACCATGATCCACGTCAAAATTATTTTCATCTCACCTTGAATTATTCCATGGGGCCTTCTGATTAATGTCGAATTTGTAGTCAGAGGCTCCGACAGCTTGAAAAATTGAATTACTTACAATTAAAAATATAAAATAAAGCGGAGGAATGAATACCATTGTTTGTCACGTTTCTCTCAATTATTGTATGCTCCATTTAGCCTGATGAAAAGATGTTTGTCAACGGTGGACTATGGTCGATCACTGGTCTCGCCAAACATAATTTGTGTGCGCTTGCGCTTTTACCTTAATAAGTACTGAGTGTATTCAAATTTTGCCACGCCAGTTTGAAGCGCCAAGCTTATCACAAGGCTGTTAAAACATAATGTAGTGGGGTAAGACATAAAACTGCAAGATATCATTTCAAGTCGAATTGCTAAATTCTAACCTTTAAGTCTGATCTCCTTAATCGACTTACAAAGTTAAGTCTCACTGATTTGTCGAAATGCATTCACGGAAGGCAACAGTGTAAACGTTTTCATTGTTTCAATTGTCGCTGTGCGGACGCTGGTTCCCCACCTCCGCCGACGTAAGGAACCCGCCGGTCCACTTACTCCCCACCTCCGCCGAACTAAGGAACCCGCCGGTCCACTCACTCCCCACCTCCGCCGAACTAAGGAACCCGCCGGTCCACTCACTCCCCACCTCCGCCGAACTAAGAGACACACCAGCCCGCTTGTTCCCCACGTCCGCCGAACTAAGGAACCCAGGCCAGCTTGCTATGCAAGTTAAACATGCTGGAACTAAGTCGAAGCTTACATCCAAAAGTATCATGAATTACATAATATTATTTAAAAAATGAAGTCAACCTGTTCTTTAAGCCATTCATGCGCGGTATGACTATGTGCACGCGGCATTGTGTGGTCCTTGACGCATGAAATCAAAAGCCATAGTAACCCATCAATGGTAACCCATCCCAATCGTAACCCATCATAACCCCCATCGTTCACCCATGCCAGATCGCAACCCACTTGCAACATGCTAAGTCAGGTCTCGCGGCTCAGGCTCGACGTGTTTATGCCTCACTCGATACCGCATGAACTACTCATGGTAAGACAGCGAAACCAGCGCCATGCAAGCCGCAAGCCACTCACTTTACACGGCTTGCGGTGCATCGGTGAATGATGCATGCGCTCAAATGACTAATGTCAGAGGCCTCTTATTGCATGACCATGAAACAGGAAAGTCGATAGCTTTATTGGGCGACTGGCAGAACAACGAGAACCCCTGCTTCAAAAACACCCGCCGGGATCTAGTACACTCTTCAAGCTTTGAGTCTGTGCATCTTGAACATTTGGTCTTCTATTGTAACCGATTGTGGCTCTTATTGTAACCGACCAACCGGCCGTCGTAACCGATCCATAATTACATTCATTGTTGTATGTCCGCTGAGCATGAAAATTACCACCACGCCCCCTCCCCCTTCCCTGGTGCCTTTCATATTCGGTAAGCGCATGCCTGCACGGCAAGACCTCAACTCCGGCTCCGCCCTTGCTGCACTGCCGACCAGCCGCTGTAGCGGCCGAGAGTCCAGTCGCCTCCTCTGAGAGACGGTGCGCGGAGGGGAGAGGCACGCTCCCCGTCGCTAAAACGAATGGCAACGAGGCGTTAATGGATCGGCGCATTTGTCGCGGCGACGGTTTTATTGCGCCGAGATGAGGGCGGGCCGCCCACTCAGCGTCACACGAGTCGGCGTGCCGTTACGGCTGTGGGAGGCGGTCGGGTGTCACGGGTCGCGCCGGCGTCGGGGGCCGGGCGGGCCGCCGTAACGGAGAGGAGGCGCGGCAGGGCTCGTCCATTGACTGCGGGGGTTCCGCGGCGATGGCCCTCGCTCGTGCGTCAGGAGTAGGCAGGTGCGCCGTACGATCGTGGAGGCTGCGAGTGCCGCAGTGTCATATGACTTCCAGCAAGGGCTGGATGCTGACGCTGCTTGACCAGCGGCTGCGCGCGACTGGCTCGCGTGTGCTTCGCCAATGACTGTATTACCACTAACAGAGCGACAAAAATAGCTGTGTTATGGTCATGCAAGGTGGGGAGTCGGCTGGCTTCGCGGCAGGCGCCGTTTCCCCGTCACTCCCCCCGCAATAGCGTGGACGGGGCGGGGACCGGCGTCGGCGCGGCCGGCCGCGCGGGTCCCACGCCTCGTCTGTTGCGCCGCGCGCCTCTGACACGGCTGGCCGTCATCACCGGCTGCCGTTTGGCGGGCCGGGGGCAGGGGGCCGCGGCCCCGGGGCCGGCAGGGTCCCGTTACCGACGGCCGCTCCCTCGGGGCTCCTCCCCGGCCGACGCGCACCTGCTGACGAGTTTGTGTCTGAGGAGGGTGGCGGGTGACGACGGACGCCTCGCTACGCTGATGACGCGCGGTGAGTGGGGGGGGGGGGGGGGGGGGGGGGGGAGCGGATCACATGACGCACGGGATCTGGAACTCTCGAGCCTCCCCGCACGGCCCGTGACCGACCAGTACGACAAGCCGAGACACAGTGTTTGCAGACGACAAGGCAGGGGTATAGTTAACTATATGCTGGGATTCGGCTCACGTGCACGGATTAAGGCGAACTCGCAGAGGGCGTAAGGGTAAACGTCGGCTACTAAAATGTGTCTCCAGCTCAAGCAATTTTAGAAACTTCCATTACAACGGTCAGAACGATTCCTCGTTTTGCCGCAATGCGCTTCAACGTGCGTGTCTTCTACTCACGCGCCTCAAAGCGTGTGCTGCCACACGTCTGCTCCGCTCACCGTGTACGTGATGCAGCCGCTGTCTGTGGGCGCGGGCCTGCGCTGATGGAGGCCCCGATTTCAGCTGGGCCCGACTCGACATCCAGCAGGCCAGAGCGGTGGCCGCCGTCTCTGCGCTTGTCGGAGGCGCCGCGCCTGGCGCCGGGGCCGGCCGGCCAGCGCCGCACGCCGCCGGCCTCCCCGCCGCCGCCACCGCCGACGGCGGCCGGCCGGCTGGCGCTGTACCCGTTCTGCGCGCCGCCGCTGCCGCCTTACCTGCAGCTGGGGCTTCGGCCCGGCGAGCCGCTCCGCTCGTGTCAGGGGTGTCCCGAGCTCTGGCCGCTGACCTGTCACCAGATGATGCACCCCGGCACAGGTACGGCTACCCGTATTGGGATACGGGCCGGGGTCCCAGCCGATATGTCACCGGACTGTGCACCCCAGCACAGATACTGTCCCCGGACAGGGACACGGAGTGGGGTTCCAGCCGATATGTCACCGGACGGTGCACTCCGGCGCAGGTACTGTCCCCGGACAGGGGCACGGAGCGGGGTCCCAGCCGATATGTCACCGGACGGTGCACCCCGGCGCAGGTACTGTCCCCGGACAGGGACACGGAGCGGGGTCCCAGCCGATATGTCACCGGACGGTGCACCCCGGCGCAGGTACTGTCCCCGGACAGGGACACGGAGCGGGGTCCCAGCCGATATGTCACCGGACGGTGCACCCCGGCACGGACACGGGCCGCGGGGACTGATATACAGTACACAGTCGGCTGTCGCCAGCTGCCGGCTGCTCCCCGGCGCATGCATGGATCGCCGAGACTAGGGCAGCGCGCCACTTGCACTACCACCAACCGATCTCTCACCAGCTGCCTCACTGCAGCCACTGGCCGATCACTGAGATCCGGCAGACACAGTGACTGGTGCGATCGGCAGCGCTGGAAGACTTTTATAGCGGTTGGTCGTCAGAGCTGAATCTTAGATCCTGAAGCTCCTGAACAAATTTTTGCATCTCGAATTGCCGTGTCCAGTGGTATCTCTGATGAGCTTTTCCATTTCGTGGGTGTTGAAATTTTTTGTTCCTGCCCGTCAAAATCGGACGTTTGTTTGGATCGTGTTGCGTTTAGCATTATACCGCACTCAGGGTGAGGTTTAGCTTAGCAGATACCTCAATACTATTTACGATGACTTTTTTGTTTGTATTTCTACTTTTACTATTTGCCATTTCCTTTGACTGTCTAGATCATTATTTTCTGGGCCATAAACACAAGCAATATGCTTCCGGCATATGCACCAAACTGATGCTCGACATTACACACACAAACATCAATATCTACTCGATTTATTTATTTATTGTCCTAGTCGGGCTCAATATTTGGGTGCTGGAACAAACATTCACTGGGGAGACCTCTCCTGAACATTACCCGAACACGTAGAGAGATCCTACTGACTCGAGTGGAAGAAGACGCCTGGGCTGTGGAAGGCCGACACGCACAAATTGGTTCCCCGAAATTCATTGGTGACGTCGCACCCAGGCACACCCAATATTCCCGGAAGTTGGGGCGAAGAGAGACGCTAACACATCAGGTGCAAATGATTGTCTGTCAGGATCTGTTGTGCAATTTGGTGACGGAAATCTGGTGTATAGCTACGTGCGTATGGCGTCCGACTACCTTCCTGACCTGGCGGACAGGACTCCGCTGAAACAGTGAAGGCACTGGTAGCAATTTGCCATTTTGCGTCAATTAACAATGAAAAGTAAGATCCGTCAGTTCATTTCCACCAAAGGCATTGCTTCGCTTGTCTGCCATGATACCCTAAAAGCTGTTTGTAAGTCGGCTGGGGAAATAGGTCAATACATGTGTGTACTGGCGTGCATTTATCAAGCATGTCTTGGATCGTTTTAGCTTTTATTATTAGCAACGTTTTAACATATCAGCTCAGCGTGCCGTCAAGTTCCCTACGTCCGTTGTTTATACCGGAGTTATCGGAACTTCCTGTCGGAAGATTCTGGGAACTTTGGTTCACATGTGACGCACATGTTTTCCGCACGTTCGTGAAGTCAGCCGGGTCCTGTCATTGATCCCTTGGGTCAAAATGCAACGCAATTGATGCCCTGTAACGCAACACGCGAGCCACACACACATATCATCACATGTCGGCTCTCGGCGCGCACCAACAACTAATGAACGTCCGCACCAACATGATTCACACAACTGTATGTGACCCTCATGACGTCACGTGCCGCATGATGATTCGCAGTGGACAGACACGGAGACGCTGGGGATCGGTCTATGCTCCTCCCGAAAAGTTCACGATCATTACAAATATAGCGCTTGCCACGCCCAAACCGTTCTCGCTGCTGGTGGCGCGTGACCGGCCGCAGCGACCGGTGACGCCCCGTGCTGGCGCGCGGTGACCGGCGTGGACGACGCTGCGGACAGAGGCGCGGCTCGCGGCGTCGCTGGTGGCCGGTCGGCGGCTGGGCGCGCGCCGCAAGCGCACCTGGACCCGCGCCGTCTTCACCAACCTGCAGCGCAAGGGCCTCGAGAAGCGGTTCACCATGCAGCGCTACATCACTAAGCCGGAGCGGAGGAAACTGGCCGAGACGCTAGGCCTCACCGACTCGCAGGTGCGTGCAGGGGCCCTGCCGGCGGCGCCCACTCACAGACGGGCTGCGGCTGGAGCTGGCGCTGTGGCCGTGGGGCTGGATACGCGTGACTGACTGATTGCGTGCTGGTAAAGGGGTGTCCTTGTGGTGCACTCTGGATAAAGACCAGGTAATGCTCCTGTTTGGCTACTTCCTTTCTGAGCTTCAATCCCTGTTGCATGCCTCTGACTGTTTTCATTTTGCTATTCCCATTGCATGCCTGCCACGCCTTTCCTAATGCTATTTTGGAGCCTTCGAACTTGTCTAAATAACGTGACACTGCCGACTTGCATAACACTGTGCTTTCTGTTGGCATCTTGACATTCTGGGTTTCCTGTTTCGCTTGCCTCTGGCACCATCATCTGCGTGCAGGCATATCAACAAACAGCCGTGAAATGGCCACGGCCCCGTGTGTTTTCGGAAAACGATCTAGAGTCTCATTTATCTCGCGATGTTTGCAGCTGACGTGGAGAAGAGGCACTGCGATTAGCTGTGTTACGGCGGGTCACAGAGACCAATCAATCCGTAGGCCTGCACGTCGGACATTAGACACCCATAACTGCAGCCGAGAGTAGCGTTGCCCGGGCTGGCCGAGAGTAGCGCTGCCCGGGCTGGTGTGCGGGTGACCAGCGCGGCTACTGCGGCGGCGGTGGGGGCCGGGCCTGGCGCTGGGTGCCGTCTGGTCCCGATGACCGATGACGCCATAACTCAGGCGTCCCGCGGCGCTCCGTCACAGCCAATTAGCGACCGGCGTCATCCCACGGGGCGCCTCTGCCGGCGCGCGCCTCTTTCCTTTCCCCAGTGGCGTGGCCAGGCGCCGGACAAGCGGGGTAAGGTAATCCCACCAGCTCTATGTTGAAGAGTTGTGAGCTCGGAAGGCTCTTTCATTGGGGGGGGGGGGGGGGGCATCATGACGCTCACAGCTTGATAACCAGGACAGGCTTTTGACCCCAGGCGTTGGCAGCGGCTCTGGCTGGCCCCGGGCTGCCTGTGACTATTGCATTCATGGCACCAGCGCTGCGCATTCCAGCGCTCGCCATGTTCATGATAAACATTTGCAGCTCCGTCCCTTCTCAGGAGCTAAGCGCGTCCAGCTGCTCGCACATGATGTTCACTACGGCGGCGTTCGGTCTTCTAGGGCTGCGACCAGGCTTGGGAACTTGGGCAAGCTTTCGTGGGCTTGAGATTAGCTTCGAATGACCCGTTTGTCTTCAGCTCCGTGTTAGTTAGGTTCACCTCCTGGTGTTATGCATGACCAGCCAGAAGAAGATGCTGCCACCCCGCGGAATGGTTGCAGAGGCAGCGAAGGCGGAATCTCCGTGGAGATTAACTTGCCTCTTTGCATCGCCATTGGGTTAATGCTAAAATGGTACATGTTACACGGAGTTGAAAGGCGCAGCTATCCCCTTCCCTCACGCCTTTCTCAAGGTCTGATAGGCCGAGGTACCCCTCAATCCAGCTACGTAGGAAACTACACCTCTGGTTACAGATAATCTTTCGAAACCGCAAGAGAGAGAGAGAGAGAGAGAGAGAGAGTAGAGAGAGAGAGGAGAGAGATAGAGAGAGATAGAAGAGAGCGAAGAGATAGAGAGCAGATGAAGTGGCCAGAGTCGAGGCCGAGCGATAGAGCTCCTCATGATCGAGATAGAGCTCTAGATGAGAGTAGCATAGCTACTCTCGCGTGATATGATATCGAGGAGCACCGAGGATCCTCGCTGCGCTCACTACAGGAGGCCTCTACTATTAGAGCGACGGGTTATGTTCAAACCAGAGCCCACCATGGTTGAGAGAGAGAGGTTGTCACAATTTACGTGTCCTCTCTTGTTCCGTAGCCCACGGTTGCGAGCAAATTTGTCGTCATCGTTGATAGCATCGTGGCCTGGCTTCAGTGACCTTCCTGTAGTGGTGTCATGACGTTACCATTGCACCAGACCACATGCATACATCATGACGTCACTGCTGCAGCCTGGCCCCGTTATGAAGTCACCGATGTGCCGTGCCCTAGTATGACGTCACGATCGTGCTGTGACGTCGTGAGGTGCACCTGCCGTTGTGTTCCAGGTGAAGGTGTGGTTCCAGAACCGGCGGATGAAGTGGCGGAACGCGCGCCGACCGGCCGACACCCAGGAGGAGCCGCCGGTGGCAGACTCCACCCAGCAGTCGGCAGACGACGAGGCCGCCCAGCCAATCAACGTCGAGGACTAAACAGCTGACGGCCGAGCAGTCGGCGTCGGCGAAGTGCCAGCCGCTGACTCGAGGGGACGGGGGCGAGGGCCCGTCATTTGCTGACATGATACGAGCCGTTGCGATCGGAGGTCGAACGCGGTTGTGGAAATGTGCCGTAAAAAGCCGAGACTGTTGTCAGCTGCCTTACCAACGTGGATTAAACTTCAACCGCTTTGTATCGACGAACTTGGCTAGACCGTCACCGGAATGTTCCTTGAAAGATATGCCTTCAGGAATGTTTCTGAAATGGTCAGGCCACCTGCACCTTCCGCTGTCGCACGGCCATGGTCTGGCTTGCCTATGACGTGGAGCGAAACGGCTTCAGGAGCAGCTGCCATGTTTGCATCAGCTGTGTCAGGTGACGCTCCGGAAAAGAGAGCTTTTTATTGTAACGTCGCAGATGGGACCGAGTCCGTTACATTTCGCTGGGTGTATGCGCCCGGCAGCTGGGCAACTGGTGAAATGGCAGCTTTTGCTAACGGCCATCAGATGTGGCAGGTTTGTTACCACATGATGCGATACTGACACGTGTTTCATGCTAGTCATGTTTCGATGCGCATTGTTCAACTGTTCGGCATGTCTGCTCGACATGTATTGTAGCGCAAGCTAGCTGAATGTGCAATATACTTTGCACTGCAGTGCGCAATTCATGCTCGAAACAAGAATCTGGAAGATATAAGGTGAAAGAGGGTGCAATTCAGAACATCTAGCTTCGCAGGCTTCTGAAGCAAAGTACAGCTAAGACATCGGGTTATATGACGTAAATGTACGCCATGAGTGCACGTCAAAAACAGCACCCTCGTGCGCCATGTGCGCACGTCAAAAACAGCACCCGCCTGCGCCATGGGCGCACGTCAAAAACAGCACCCGCGTGCGCCATGTGCGCACGTCAAAAACAGCACCCGCGCTGTCGATTTTTGCAAAAGCGTTATAGATTGAAAAGACCCAAAATTTTCCCGTGTTTTGCACCCAGACCACCAGCACAACTCGGATACGAATGGAGCGATGCAAATTGTAATGGCTAGGCTAGGTGACAGGACGCACTGGGAGCGCATCGCAACGCTCCAAGCTAAAGCCCAAATAGGGAAAATCATTTTCTTCCGAGAGGCGGATTAGCTGTTTCCGAGGTGCGCCCACCGTTGCCTTAAGTTCTTCCACCGCTCGAAACACGTGGCTGGGAGGCACGGAATATCGGAATTATCCTTCCGTAATAGTCTTCACTGACGTCCGTCACGCAGTCTGCAATAGGTAAGTATTTAAGCCAGCTCAAAATGGTGTCTGCCAAAGCTGACAGGCGAATCCTGCCCAGGTGATCATGTCTGTATACCGCCACCCTCAAAACTTGGACAGGCAGGTTTCCTGTCTCGCGCCCGAGGCGTCCTAATCACACATCTCTGTAAAAACGTATCACGTCAAAATCTGACTCATTGGCAAGGACGTACTATCCTTTCAGTTTGAGGGAACTCGACCCCTTGCAGTCTTGGGCACCGCCTCCTCCCCAAACTTTGAGAAGAAAGTGGACCAATACCGGGGAGAAATCCGTTTGGGGGCATATTTAGAGGTACTTTCCCAATTTTCATCACTCAGTCCCCGTCACACCGACTTATTTTGTGAATATCTGTCCGGCTCCTGGAGACACGCAATGCTTTCTGCTCTGCTTGTGACTGTTCTGATGTGGTGGTAACTGCTCTGTTCTGAGTTTATAACTGCTCAAATCGCATTACACAGCGTCAAAAGAATCAGGATTATGACCAATCATACCACCATCCATAGCTTCACATATCAGTCTAGCTTATGGTGCTAGGGTCGTGTCATGATCTTAGTTTCATTTGCAATCCGGGGGCAAGGGTGCAGCCGGAGGCTTGACAAAGGGGGCACAGGGTTGACAAAGAGCCCCCTGACAGTGAAAGGGCCCTCCCCCCCAAAATCGCCGGATATGACGCATTCGTTATTGAGAACATTTATGTTATATATATATATATATATATATATATATATATATATATATATACATATAAATACGCACACACACATATATACATATACAAATATATACACACAACTTACGCATTTTTTATCTTCCATAGCTGGAATATAGGCCAAACGCTACTGCGAGATCAATTCTGCCGTAAGTTCGTAGTAACTAAATTGAGAAAATCACACGTTGAATGACAACATAGAATAAATCGCCAGCCTTTCAACCAATTGCTCATCATTTCATAACGGTCCAGTGTACCCTTTTTAAATCGATAGAGCTCAGAAACTGTCAGAGTTTTTTATCTGAGTTGTACAGAAATAGCAAGGATTCTGCGAACGTAGATTGATGGCCCAAATGGGTCAACAATTTGCATTAACGTGGCCAGGCCACACGGGTGTCGATTTGCGTTCTTTTGTGAGGCCCCTGACCCCTCCGACGTTGAGTTGGGTCCCCCAATGTTGGCCCGTCCCCCCAAGTTTTTGGCTGAAATGCTACAAAAAAGTGGGCAAAATATGATCATAACTCAAAGACTACCTCCTTTGATCTTTCTGCAAAGTGGCGTCTCGTACCACTCTCATAACAAAAAGTCACTGCTGTTCTCACCACAAGATGAAAATCGTGACAGCTGAGCGGATAAACGGTGCAATAAACTTCACATATCTACCGTCGTAAGGCACTCAATGGTTTGTGAGGTTAAAGGGAAAAGGTCTGGAATATGCGGATGACCTAAGTCCTTCATGGATAACCGCGTCCCCGTCCCTGTCCCCGTCCCCGTCCCCCACTACCAAAATGCATGCCACCTGCGATGACCACCATAGAAGAGCGCCATCGCCGCCCTGAAGGTGGCCTCTAAAGGGACGCCTTCACGAGCCGATCAGCAGAGACGCGTGCGTCCAGCGCTCTCTCCGGATCCAACCCTGCATGACTTCTATACTGTTTAATTGAAAGTGTGTTATAAATGTTACGGAGATTCAAACATATATTGCGTTTGATCAAAATAAAGTGGGCTAGATCCGGTGCGAAAAAATGGGGCGGGGTAGGTTGTGGGGCCTTCGATTCCGCCTCCCAATAGTTTGTAAAAAATGACGCTGATGCCAGGTCATGTCTGTCTTGATATTTTCAACATTCATTCGGAGCTGATAAGTGGTTCAATTTATGCAACGTAGTTTTTGAGCATGCGCGTTTGCATATCTTGAAATAAAAACTTGACGCAAGGCGTTGCAGTCTCCTGATTTACGTGTTGTGGTAGGTGACAAGAACTGAGACCTTTGCGAGCGAATTGGTGACAAAATTTTTAACTGAAAACAAATTTTAACAGACCAGAACATAGTACGACAGACCATCCCAGCTAGATGAAACTCAAACTTGGTGTTAGCCTGTACTCGCTAACGCCCGCAGCGTGGGCATGTGCAGAGCACATGTCAAAACGTTAGCGTTTCGCTATATGAGCAAGTTGAGCCATAATATGCTGTCAAACATAGTAGCTTTAATCAGGATAATTCTCAGCAGGTGACATACATACAATGCAACTTATTCTTTGTCAGTGCTGACGTCACAGATCAGAAGTGACGCAGTGCCTTTCCAATGCCGCTCAGATGAGTGCTTTTCACAGATTTTTCAGCCAAGATTCACTTTGCATACTAAACAGCATGAAATGCCAAACAGCTAGGCTTATTGCTAGCCGCAAGAATTGCAGCTGGCCGCAGTATCTTGCAACGAATGTGTGCGATCAGTTTGCCACGCAGCGTTTGAAAGCGTCGTACCATTTGAAACAGATGGGCGCGAATGCTCGCCACGCGTTAAGCGGTGGGTTCAGTGCGAGGCTGTGGGCTGCTGTTGGTTGTGTTCATGTGGTGAGGAGCTGACTGCCTAGAAGCACGTAGCTGATCGCCAGTTTCTTAATACGCGCCCGGGTGACCGGCTGGATGCCCTTGGCTCTGGTGGGCGGGGGGGGTCAACTTTACCCCCTGAGATCTCAGGAACTAAGAGAGTTAGATGCACCAAATTCACAGGGTGTGTTAACCTTTACCTGCTCCCACTTAGGTCAGAAAGTTTGGGGTTTCCAGGTTAGGCCCTTCGGGTCAAATTAGGTCAAACAAGGTCGAATTCTTGGTCGGTCTCCAAAGGACCCCTAGAACCTAGAAAACTGTTCCAAGCAAAAGAGCACAGATTTATTTAAGTTCAGTGACCTTACTTGACCTTTTGAATGTCATGGTGACCAAAATCATACAAAACTTCTTTAAGTTTTACATTTGAATAAGCGACAAAGATTACGCTAGACAGTACGTTGCTGAAAACAAAACGTTGACCCGGGTCATTTTAGGTCAGTGACTTATTCTGACCTTTAAGCAGTTTATGGAAGGTGTTAAAGGGGGTCTGTGTTGTCAATAAATTTGAAATGGGGACCAGAAACTACCCTATACAACAATCCCTCGAGTAATAAAGCAATTTGGTTTTGACCCTGGTCTGACCTTCATACCTGACACTAGGTCGATGCAATTTGTTTGTTCAATTGTTGTGTTGCCTCAGAAAGTATCTCAGAGATGTCTGGCTTTGTCTAACGCTTCGTTGTTGGACCAGATTAAGAGATTCTCTAGAAATTACCTTCACTGAAACCATGGCCTGAATTTTACCTGCCATAGGTCAGTGACCTTTCAAGGTACATCTAATTTTGTTGCTGCCAGACGATCCGCTATTCAATTGTATACACATGTGCAGAATTTGGCGCGGCCACACCCTGCCGTTCAGAAACCATTCCGGAAAAACCTTCGGCGGGCGTCAATGTGACCCCCCACCCTAGCATGTGTTAAGGTAATAGCTTTAAATCGCCCTGATGATCAAGAAGGATTGTAGTTTGTGAATGCCTACGCTGTAGCTGCAGAGGTGAACGGAGAACGTTGGAGTGACACATGTCAAAGAATCATCTGAGGTTTCCTGCTATTGAGAGGAACAGCGGTTTTGAGGCAAGAAGCCGAGAATCGCTGGTGTAGACCTCTCGCATTGTCCGTTGCACCTCAGAGTTAGCGTACTGATCGGTGGACACGCATGCGATAAAACGTTTTTAATTCTCATCATATCGCATAGATGAAGGTGTTGGAACTTTTAAAAGTGTTGTTTGCATCTGTTGATACCAGCATTTCATGGGTTTTGCTCTAGATAGTTGGGATCACGTTAGGAACGGGTAGTTCTGCACCGGTAACGATTATGCTAAGATAGTGAACGTCACCAACGCTTCCAGCTGATTGTGCGATGACATCACAGCACCAAAAGTGATATTGTCTCTAGTTCTGTAGAACCACTTTATCGGTAAATGTAGGGCTATAAGGATGCAGTTTTTCCAAATACGTTGAGGTGAGAGAGTGGGGCGGAGGAGGAAGCAGAAGGAAAAATGATTGAGCCTTCCTCCGAACTGCACTTAAATCAGTTTTCCGCCCAGATTTGACGCGATTTCTTTTCACATTGGGAGCAAGGGTGTAGTATCTTTAAAATTAGTTTTTGGGGCTAAGCCCCATAGTTATGAAAGCTGAACCATAATGGATCAAAATGCTAACTAAAAATAGGAGTCCTCACCACTAGCTAGAAGGCACAATCACCCCTCCCCTCAACTGAAAAGGAAGCTAAACGCCTCTAGGCTGGTTATGTTAACTATGCCGTTATCTGA